AATCGATAAATAAATAAATAATTAAATGAAAAAACCAATAAATCAATCAATAAATTAATCAATCAATCAATCAATCAATCAATCAATCAAGGTAAAACAGACAGAAGGGCCACCTTCAATGTCTTGCAGCACGATCTTCACCCCGGAGGCCGTGGTTTTCCTGAGGTTACCGCCCCTGTCCAGCACACCGACCGATTTCTTCACTGTGTCTGCCGGGTCAGACGTGTCCAAATCGCCCTGATGGGGGGAAATAAATTATGGTCATTAATGATAAATGAATGGAGAAGTATATGAAATGACGTTCTAAGAATGCCGAAGATAGGTTGCCCTATCGAAATAGATATGGTTTTGGAAACCAACTGGAAAGAGTAAATGAGGAAGACCAATTGGAAGCTCTAGAGGCACAATAAGGGATGAGGCGATCACACAGGGCCTGGATTTGCTGAAATTGGACAGGCAAGCGTGGAGTCGATTGCTCTCCGCCTTATGTACCTGACACTACGTGGAGAGAGTAAGTAAGTAAGTAATGATTAATATATTTGTTTTTAAATGCGATTTTCATTTTAATTGCTGGGTAGTTAGAGGGTGCTCCACCTGTATATCATATAATTAATTTGTTTGTTTTAATGTGCTTTAAAAAAATTATTGTAGAATAGCTGGAGGACTCCAGCGATTATAGGTCCTGCTCCAGTGACGTACACCAGGTGAGTTTTAGTTTAGTTTTAGTGAGTGTTTTACGGCACTTGCAACACAATAAGGGCATATGAGTGCCGAAATTAGAGATGTTCCCTGGTAATGTTTACATTAATAAATCTTTTTCAAATAAAGCTGTAAACATCGTAAATTTAAGCTGAGGTATTATTTTTAGTTTTTCTACCGTCTTGGTAAATGTAATGACAGTAAAACTGTGGAGAGAGGGAGTGGAAAGAGAGAGAGAGAGGAGAGAGAGAGACAGAGAGACAGAGAGACAGACAGACAGACAGACAGACAGACAGACAGACAGACAGACAGACAGACAGAGACTGATTGAGAGAGACAGGGAGACAGAGACACAGACAGAGATACAGACAGACAGATACAGAGAGAGAAAGAGGCGGAGAGAGAAGGGGGATTAAATTATGTTCAATTTGTACTGTGTATTATAGCTCAGCGGATCGAACATTTGCCTAGTAGAAATGCGTAAGATAAATATGATTCGATATTTAATTATTTTGTGTGCTTCTCTTTACTACAAATCAAACGTCTCATTCTATCCCCATACATGAATGATAAGGCACCATCATATTTTCTTAATAATAATAATAAATGACATTTATATAGTGCTCAACCCCGAATAAAGTCCACAGGCTCTTAGCGCTTTACAATACAGTACAACATACAACAGTAACATAAAATGTTGTGTTCTGACTAAAGAAAATTATTCCAAATATTCATCGTATCAATTTAAAAACAGAAACGACTTCAGATTTGTTCAAACTTGCGTGAATTAGATTGTTACTGTGTGAAGAGGTTTTGTTTGTTTGTGCATGTATGTATGTATGTATGTATGTATGTATGTATGTATGTATGTATGTATGTATG